GATGAGAATGCAGCTGATATGTTGACCAAGCCAGTTACTATCAACAAGTTCTTGTATTGCTTGGACTTGTTGAATGTTTGCAGTTGCAAGAGAAGCATGGTGCCCCACCCCACAGTGGTGCAGGTGTAACTCCTAGGTTTTTTTCTCCTAAGGGGCTGGATATTCGCCAAGGTGGAGATTTGTTATGGTATGGCTCATATACCATATCGGGACAGACGCTGGATCGAAGCGGAGCGGAAGAATCTGTCCAAATTGGGAAGTTACGTGGGTTGGGGTGCGGGGGCAAAGCCCCGCGGTATGATACAGGGGTAATGTTGTAATTACATATTGTGCCTAGGTTTACTCCTGAGGTTATAAATAGGTCTGTTAGTAACCCCAGGAGGTATCCCTGAATTCTGTAAACTCTTTTCTGATTATTGAAAGGAATCGTCGCTCTGCTCCCGAGGACGTAGGCATCTTTGCCGAACCTCGTTAAATCTCTGTGTTCTTTTGGATTTGTGTTGATTACTGTTTTCTTCGTCCTAATTTTCTCAACACATTTGATCTGTAACTATTTTATGTTAGCTAGTGTTTGTTTTTTGTTGCAATTTTAGTTTTGGTGCTTCTCTGCTTTGACTTCTCAAAGCATAAAGATAAAATTTTACTATTACGGTGTTATTTACCTCCTTAGCGCTTCTATGACTTGGAGGAAGTATGCAAGATCATTAACCATTAATTTTTGCTCCCAAATTAAATCTTCTCATTGGATTTGTAACTTTTTTTCAGTTTCCTGGGAATTGAACCTATAGGTTTTCTCTTAAGTGAGTTGTATTTTTGGCTCCCAACCCCACCCCCAACTTTTCTTTAGGTTAATAAAATTTTAATTTTGCCAAAAAATAATAATAATAAAACATATAACACAGATTATGTGAAAGCAATATAAATTTAGAACTTTCTCATATTTATTCATAAAAATGGAAACCTAAACATCTTTCTCACAAAACATTCATCATCAAAACTCACTCACTTATTATATTCACATAAACATTAAAAAAACATCAACACTTATTACTAAAATCAAAGATCAAACATATAAATCCAAACCATAAGCACCTATATATATATACAAAAACTTACCCATTAAAAAACTAACATTAAAATAACTCCACTGACAACTTAAAGTCAGCTCACTATACCTTCACTAAAAACAATGGATTTTAAACTATTTTCCTGATTTCTTCCCTTTCTTCTTCGAGGAAGAACTCTTGCCCGATCCATCATAAGGCATTTGAAACCCTATGTTCTCAACAGCTCCTACTGTTTTGAACAGCTTCTTTTTAAGCTGCTCTACTAGATTTTGATGAAGCAACTGGCTTCTGAGGTCTACCATGGACCTGTTTCTCATTAGCCGCCGATCATCTACTGCTGGCTTCTTTCCTGCACGGCTGGCTGAGGGCCGTTTGGATTCGGCTGGCTGCGGTAGCTGCAACAGAGAACATTGGCTCTGAAGCTTAGAGGCCAGTAGGGTTTCCACACCATGGCTTTTCTGAGGATTAGTTTGATTAGAGCTCGACTCACAGTCGAGTTCATTGCCAGAGCTGTAGTTAATGGCAGAGTACATCCCTGACCTCACTGAGCTTGCATCATCTTCTGTTGATTAGTAATTCTTAGTCGTCAGAATTCATGGTGCAATATGCATAAATTTAAGTTTGATTTTTTGTTGTATTTATATTTTCGAAAGTATCAAAATTATGATGTGAAGGAAGGATTTCATAAAGCTGGTTAAGGCTGCATTGGGGTGTAAATGAGTCAAGCTGACATATGAGCCGGCTCGAGGTTACATCGATAAGCAGCTTGTGAACTGATCAACTTGATGAGCAAACAAGCTAAGCTCAAGCGGGCCCTGACGCGACTAATTAGCTCGCGAGTCGGCTCGTTTAAAAAAAATACTAATATAAAATATACTCAAATGTATTAAATTTCTTCTAGATTTCATCTTAAAGGTATTAGAAATGTTTAAAAAATAATATTTTGTATTGTATATTAAAAGATTTCTTATTATTTATCTCCTAATTATTCATTATATCTGTCATCTTATTATAAAGCTAGCTTAAATTAATATCATTTTTTTCTCTTTTATAATAAACAAGTCATCTTGAACTTGATAAAATTAATCAATCACAAGCTCAAGCCGAGGGTAGCTCGAGCTCGACTTGACTCATTTACTCTCTTTAACTAGAGAAAATATAACGTCGGAATCCGGGCCTAGAGATATGTCCAGACTCCAACTAAATCTTGACATATGTCAAATATAATAACTATTATTTTATTTTCTAGAAAGTGGAGAAACCTAAAGCCCGACCCAACCCCACATGTACAACATAATTTTACTAGATGTTTTTGTTTAGTACAATCATATTGCACTTAAATAAAAAGGAACAACTAAATAAAAATTCGATGCGAAAGTCACACAGTACAACATTTATGTGCGGATCAGGTGGGGCTTCAGGTCTCTCCGTGATTTTTAGATAATAAAACAATATTTTATAGATTAGACACCTTAGATCGGACCCCGGACATAAAATTTTTGAAAGATTCAAAAAAAGCTCTTACCTTGAAGCCATTCTGCAACTTTAAAAGAATCGTTGAGCGAAGTGTTCATGCCATGATAGTTTCCGGAGCCAAATGAGGAGTTCTCCTGAGTGGAAGAGGGTGAGGACAGATAGCAAAAAGGGTGTCCATATTCCTCTATTTCTTCTCCGAACTTATATTCATGGTGGCCATTCCCCTTCCACTCAGGCACCAAGTTCATGATTTCTCTAGAGATCATGCTAGCAATGTCGGCCGGCTTCCAGTCTGTGATCTCGAGCTCCTTGACCATCTCAATGGCGACGTCGATGGGGGTGTCGTTAATGATATCGAAGGGGAAGTGTATGTTCCTCACTTTCCCTGCAAATTTAGCACATTCATGTCGATCATCATGATATATATAAACTTGAGGATCAAAGAGGGCGTAATTATATTAATGTTGGATAAAATTAAGTTAAAATTTTATATATACATAAATTGTATACTAATATATATGTAGTATGCACAGCCCAATTAAAAAACTTCAACAGCATGTGAGCGGCTACATGAATCCTCTATCTCATTAATGTCATATTTTCCTTTAATTCTAATAAATTATGGTCAATTTTCATGCAACATGGCTAAGTCATTTTATGTTTATCTGTACTTGTTTTAACATAAGTCAAATCTTAAACATCAACTCTCCTAGCCTAATCATCAGATGATCGACGTTTAATGTGACCAAAACATCTGAAACGACTCTCTCTAATCTTATCTGTAAGTGAATCTTCACCAACCCTTTCACGGATACATTTATTTTGCATTTTGTCTCTAGGTGTCAAGCCACCCATCTACCTAAGCATTCTCACCTCAATAACACTTGATTTTATGCTTCTCTTTTAATGGGCAACATTCTACACCATAAGACATTGCACTTCTTACAATCTTCTTGTAAAATTTTCCTTTAATTCTAAGAGATATTTTTCTATCACACAATAGACCCAATGCATTCCTCCACTTCAACCATCCTACTTGGGTTCTACTAATAATATACTCATTTATAGCACCATCACTTTGAACAATAGACTCGAGATATCTAAAGTCTTCACACATCTAAAACTTTTTTTATACTACTCATTTATTACTTGCAAAAATAAAATAAATCACATAACATAATCAAAATGATCTTACATCTTAAATAAATTTTTGAGGCATTTACATATACATCACATAATTCTTATCTATTTAAATGTCTAACATTCAAACTTTTATCTGCACATACATAGCAGTTAAAATATTAATACTATATAAAAAAAATATCATTATGATTAACTTTTTAAACGTGAAATACATCTTTTCATCTATGGATTTATGATATCAATGTACTATTAATATAAATATCAAACTTTGTGGTAAAGATATAAATACATAGGAATGATGTATTTGGATAAATTTTCCTAAAATTTTAATACTTTTATTCAATCCAGACAAAAATGTTAAGTGCAGATCAATAATATTTGTGGTGGAATTGTGGGCCGATTCACACTTACATTCACATTTCACCCTAACATAAGAATTGCTCGAACAAACAGGACAAACATACTTCAATTCATAACAGAAAGGAATTTACCTTGCTTGTCGCCAATCTGAACTTTGAGATAAATGGCATTATCATCCGGATTCATTTTCCCAGTTATAGTCATATTAGTGTGCAGCTCATCATCAATTTCTCTGCCACCATTGTGGCGGCTCTCGCCGGAGCTCTTAGTTTTCACAGCGGGCAGAGCCACCGGCATTGCCGGCCCGTCCTGCCGGTCATCAAACTGGAGAAAAGGATCGGATAGCAGCTCCTTCGCCGACGGCCTCTTCAAAGCATCATCCAAACACCGACCAACGAAACGCCGCGCCTCCAAGTCCCTTAATTTATAAAATGCATCCGGGAGCTTCCCCTGTAAAATCGACTGAATTTTAGCTAAAATCATTATCATCACATTACTCTGTTTCTGGTAAAAAATCATAATTACCGCTGTGACTTTCTTGTAAATCTGGGCGGGATTGGAGCACTCGCTGTAAGGATACTCCGTCGTCAGCATCTCAAGCACGCACATTCCGAACGAATATATATCAACCAGCTCGTTATAATCCTCCTCGTACAGCTCCGGCGCCATAAACTCCGGCGTTCCAATAACACTATGAGCAGACTGAGATCCCCGCAGAACCGCCGCGAGTCCCAAATCTCCAATCTTCACCTGACCCAGATGGCCGTTAACAAATACATTATCGCATTTAAGGTCCCGATGGATGACCGGAGGATTGTGGCTGTGAAGGAACTGCAGACCGTCGAGAATCTGACGGGCCCAGCTCTTGACGGCTCTGATGTTCACTCGCCGATATCTTTGCCGGTATCTGCGAACGCAACGAATTAATCAGACATTATTGGTGAGATATTGGTATGGTGGTGCAGAGGAGTTACTGTCGGAGGGAGCCGGAGGTGAACATCTCGGTGATGAAATTGAAGGTGCGGGCGGGGACGTCGATCCAGGAGGCGTAGAAGTGGATGATGGAGGGGTGGTTGAGGGTGCTGAGGAGATGGACTTCGGAGTACATTCGTTGAAGGATTTCAGGGGATTGCATTACGACGCAGAGTTTGGCCTGGTTCCAGGCTACTTCTATTCCGTTCAGTTCATCGAATGCTCTGTAACTGTTTGCTCATTTTGGTTAAGGAAATATGATAAAAGTAGCTGATTTTTGCCTATTATTATTATTATTACCAATTATTTGGTCTAGATAGAAGAAGAAGTGTGCCTATAGAAATTATTCCAGAGGTATTAGAGGGTTATGAAAGTGTTATTGGGGTTAATACCCCCAATAATCTGACAAAATTTTTGAATGATTGTAAAAGATACAAGCGCGGAACCACGGAATATATTGGTAGGTTATTGGGGGTTATTGAGAGGTTATACTTCAACAACCTCGCAATAACTCCCAATAACCGAGTTATGGGAATGTTATTTTGTGGATACGCACGCAAAATTGCGTGTGTATTTTGTACTTAAATAGCGCCCAGTCTTAGGATTCTTGTCCGCATATAAGTCCATCAAGACTGAATTAAATAGATTTTACATTATGCATGATTTTTTTTTCTTTTTTTTTTTCTCTACAACAAATATTAAACACACGTAGTGGACGAGATTCACGGAAATTGAATTACATGATGAAGTGTTTGAATCTCATCAATTGTTCATAAATACCTATGTAATATTTTATCCTATATATATATATATGTTCTTT